CAAGGGGGGGTCTGGAGATGCAGTTTGGCACATGAGAGAGATACAACCATTTCATGGGCATCACCATTTCTCACCGACACTCTCCTCTGGGCAACATGCAGAACAGGAGAAGCAGGAGACAACACAGTAAGGACGTGCCCTCTATGCAACTCTCAAAGGAGAATCTAGAGGGGAATTATTGATAAATGTGAACAAGATAATACATGTTGTAGTTAAACCACATTCTTCTGAGCCTGATGACTTTCAAAACTACTTAGAAGATTTATCAACTCTTATCAACTTAGATAATTATCTGTAATGTAAGACAACCTTATTTTTTAAAGCATCTTAAGTTATTTGAAATAACTGCTACTGTTATGATATAAAAGTTAAATAATCTGCAAATGTAATTTAAAAATCATAGTATGAATAAGTGGAAGGATATGTCATAATTTAAATTCACAACTTGTTTCAACAAACTTCCTGATTCATTAACCACAGCATGTTGGCAACAGGAAAGAATGAAGTCTTTCTCTTCCTCAAGTAATTGGAAATACCATTCATTTTTTTAGTCTACTCATTCATTAGCAGTTTGTCTCATCGATATTATTTGATACCTTCTTCCAGTTAACCCTGTTTGGTTACCTTTTGACTCAAAATGAAATGTCCTATTGTTAGATCTAGTCGGTACATGGTAATTTCTGACTAACAGTGGCCCCTTTTCCCTTCTTCATGTGGGTGGCCTAGGATTTAGATAGGTACAGATAGGAGCCAATATTGAATCTGGGCAACAGTCTAGTATATAATTGCTGCCTGGTTTCTTGGCTAAACACTTGGGGCAGTACAGAGAAATTTTTATGTCTCTGACATGTTCTCCTAAACTGCCTTGCTTTATTTTCTTGCGTGTAGGGTATGGAAGTAGGATAGACAAGAAAAAAATAATAGACCACACACATGGCTGGTCTGTACAGTTATTTCATACTTTAGTAATTTCAAAACCACCTCTTATTGGATAATGCTCATGTTGGGAGTTAGCAAAACTTACTGTAAAGCCATCAGGACATTGCATTTACTGCTATTATACTTTGGCCCAAGTTCACATTCTAGGTAGAAATAACTATAACTTAGAAATTCTTTACCTCTAAATAGAAGTTAAATTTTAGAATCTTATTGGTGGCACTAAACTGGCTATTCAGTATACACTCATTGACTGAATGCTTGGTATGGACCAGATACTGTGCCGAGCACTAAATCTAAAAAGGCATTTCATTCCAACTTACTCCTGCACACACAGTCCTTCCCAGGCCCCCATCTTTATCCTCCTTTAGAATACCCCCAAGTTTCTGCAAAGGTTTAGCCTGCAAATCTATCTATCCATATTACAGATTTCTAATGACAGATGTATCAATATCATGCACTTTGAAGGTAAACTCCACAGTAGTATGTCCTTTAAAAAAGGATTAAATACACAAACACATCCCAGAGAAAGTGATTTTTTCAGGCATTAAGATGTATAAGTATACAGAGAAGTAGGCAATTGCCTTTTAAGCAGACTTGCAAGTGCTCCATTGCCATGACCTTTCTCCCCTATCCTCACCTGATCTGTCAAGTGAGGTCGTTTCTAGTGGCTCTGAGGGAGTGGGAGGCTCTTTTACAGAACGTTTGGAGGTTCAAAACTTGAGTTTAAATCACTGTATAAAGAAATTCCATTTTACAGGGCACTATTTGAAAGTAATACTTGGGAATAGAGCTTCTAGGGTGCTACTTCTCCAAGAACCAGTCTTTGGGCAATTATGGACATAACCGTTGAAGACAGGCAGTTACTTTACCATTTGGAGATTTTTTGAGGCAGCAAATGTACAATATCCCTTGGCACTATATCTCAATATCTAATCATTCATAAATCAAGATATCATTCCTAGGTATTACCAAATCTCCTTGCTGTAATGAAAACGCACATTCTCTCCTTAACCTTCTGTAAAGTTGGAAAATAACTGATCCTCCCACTGACAAAAGAAAAAAAAAAACCTTATATAAATGAAAGACTCTTCATTGCCCTTTATCTTTTGCAGGCTAAGCAAACCTACGGGCCCAAATGTTTTGGTGGCATCTTATTTTGGTGTTACCACTGATTGATAAATCCTAATTGGTGCCTATAATTTCTCTACCTCACACAACAGAGGTGGAGATTCTGATTAAGATTGTATCTCCGGGATCCCTGGGTGGCACAGTGGTTTAGCGCCTGCCTTTGGCCCAGGGCGTGATCCTGGAGACCCGGGATCAAATCCCACGTCGGGCTCCCGGTGCATGGAGCCTGCTTCTCCCTCTGCCTATGTCTCTGCCTCTCTCTCTCTCTGTGACTATCATAAATAAATAAAAAATTTAAAAAAAAAGATTGTGTCTCCAAGTGCTCTTATTAAGATGTAGGTACCTGGGTTTTATTTTTTATTATTTTTAAAAAATATTTTTTAAGATTGTATTTATTTATTCATGAGACACACACACACACACACACACACAGAGAGAGAGAGAGAGAGAGAGAGAGAGAGAGAGAGAGAGAGAGGCAGAGACCCAGGCAGAGGGAGAAGTAGGCTCCATGCGGGGAGCCCAACGTGGGACACTCCCTGGGCTGAAGGCGGCGCTAAACCGCTGAGCCACCTGGGCTGCCCTTATTTTTTAAGATTTTATTTATTCATGAGGGAGAGAGAGAGAGACAGAGACACACACACACAGGCAAAGGGAGAAGCAGGGTCCCTGCGGGGGGAGCCTGATGCGGGACTCGATCCCACAACCGGGGATCATGACCTGAGCCGAAGGCTCCGACCAAAGCCTTCCAAATGGAGGGGAAGGGGAGGTGTTTGGGAGAAAGTGGGGGCTTGGGATGTCAGATGTTCCACCACTGCAACCCAGGTGCCCCGATATGAGGGTTTTTTTTTTTTTTTTTGATATTTACTTGGTTTTATTTGGGGAAATTGGTTTTCTAGCCGAGAGGTCAACCCTTTTGTATTTCACATAAGAAACCTATCAGCAAGATACCTTGTGTTGCTCTGTAGCATGACCCATCACCGGCCTCGTCTGTGTCACTTCTCAAATGACACTTCCATATGAATATGTGGCACTAAAGAACATGAAGGTTTTGTTTAGGGATGAATCATCATTAGAAAATTCACACTTTACCTTGGTTGATTAGTGTGGTCCAAAGCCTCAAACTCCTAGATTTACTTGGTTTATCGGAGGCCCCTAAGGGAGCGCTGACAATTGATCTGTCCTGACGCAGGCTGACGGGGTCGTGGGGTCTGAGACACACCCTCTGAGTCCTACAGGTGTGGGCCATACCAGGTGTGCCTTAGCGGGCGCCGGGCGGGGCCCCTCTGGCCGCCACACCACCGCCACACGTTCTCTCAACATCTTCCTTCCTTGTGGACTTCGAGAATATCAGAGGTGAGCATCTCTGGGGTCACAGCCATTTCCACTTGAGTCAGGAAAGGAAATCTGCCTATGGCAGCAGAAATCCCGGCGGGAGTAGGTAGTGTGTGTGTGTGTGTGGGGGGGGGGAGCTCCGGTGGCGGAGCCTCCATCCCGCACTTTTCCGACTCCCCAAGTCCCTCCTTCTGTCAGCGGGTCCCACACATCCCCCTGCTTACTCCTTAACGCACCTGCACCCTCCCCAGGCCACAGGGAGCGAGGACAGCAGGAATCTACAGTGAAGGGCCTGGGCTCGCTCAGGTGGCTGCCCCGGGGGCGTTCCGGCTCCAGCCGCCGTTTAGATACCGATCTTCAATCCCAGGTAAACCGGGATATTTCTGAAGGACTGTTAAAAAAAATTTTTTTTTTTTTAAAAAAAACCCACTCGTGCTGAAGTATCTCCAGGAGGCGGGGAATTCTACCCGGTGAGACACCCCCTGCCCCGCCGCCGCACGTGCGGCTCCCTCAGGCGCCTCCCGGGGTCCGGCTCCGCGCGCCCACCTCCGCGGGGCTCCCTCGGGCCGCAGACGCCCCGCCCCCTGCCACCTCCGCGCGTCTCATTGGCCAGGCCTTGCGTCCGCCTCGGCTCCTGATTGGCGGTTGCTCCTGCCTGTAGGAGCCGCGGGGACATTTCCGCATTGAAGCGGGGGGGCCCTCCCCCCGCTCCCAAATGGAGGGGGAGGGGAGGTGTTTGGGAGAAAGTGGGGGCTTGGGGTGTCAGAAGCCGGCAGCCAGGTGGGCGCAAGGGGGCCGGCGGCTGGGCGGCGACCGCTGGCGAGGAGTTCAAGTTGTGTGTGTGTGTGTGTGAGGGGAGAGGGGGAGAGAAAAGGGTGCCTCAGAGGTGACATTCTCTCAGCCTGCGAGCCTTCCTCCCGGGGCGCCATAAACGCCCCCCAGTTTCTCAGCTGCTGAAAGAAGCGGAAGGTGGGTCTCGCGGCGGCGGTGTGGAGAGGGGCGGGGAAGGGCTTCCCACGACCCCTCGGGCGGGTGTGTTTCCCTCCGGGAGCTGCGTTAAGCTCCGCTCCGCGACCGGCTGTGTGGCCCGGGAGGCCGAATTTGGGGTGCGGGGCCCTCCCGCGCTCCTGCCCCCCCCTCCCCTCGCGGGCGGCCCCCGCGCGTTTGCAGCGGGGAGGGGGGAGGGGGCCTTCCCCCCCCCCTCCCGGAGGACGCGCCGGGGCCGGTGTCGCCGCTCTCCGCTGCAAGGGGGCGACCTGGAGGCCCCGGGCCGCCGGCGGGCGCGCGGGATCTCGCCGCCTCCGGGTCCCGGGGCGTCCGGGGACTGCTAACAAATGGTGGCGTCACCCCCTCTTCGCGGACTCCCCCCGCCTCCCCGGACCCTGCTCGGGCGCCCGCAGCTGTCGCCCGGGGTTTCCCGGGGACCTGGCCGGAGGCTGGACGGCCGCGAGGGGGAGGGGACGGGGGGTGCGGCCGGGCGGGCGTTTGCCGCCGTCCTGCCCAGGAGGGCGTGGGGACGGGCGGGGGGGTGGGCGGCGAAATAGCCGTCGTAGATCCTCCTCTTTCATTGATGAAATTTAAGTTCGTGTGGTGATTTTTTTTTTTTTTTTAAACCTTTTCCGGGAGTCTCCAGCTGGCCCTGGTGTGTGTCAGGAGCGCGGTGTAGACAGGAGTTCCAGGCAGGCTCAGTCACACGAAGTTCCTGTCTTTTCTGAAGTGGAGGAGGTTTTCCTGGTGTTTGTTTGGTTTGGGCTTTTCTTTTCTTTTTTTTTTTTTTTTTTGAGGTAATTTTAATCGCTTTGAATAAATAACTCTCCCTTAAGTGACTGGCCGTAGGAAGGGGAGAAAGAGCACGGCGGTGAGTTAAAGCCGGGGAGGAAGAGACCTGCCCCATAGCGTGGCTCCTCTAGAAATTAACACACATATACATACATCATCAGAGTGTTTTACTAGATCCCTAAAATGTCGAGATATGTGCAAGGTAAGACACCCTTCTTTTTTTTTTTTTTGTCTCCCGGGTTGCTTCCGTCGGGGTGGTGGTGGTGGTGGTGGTTTGGAAGTGGAAATGGTCCTTTGAGATCCTGTCAGCGAAACCCTTTTCCTCAAATTGACATTTGAGCTGCTGTGAGCTGCTCGGGTTGGCATTTCGGGTACGGAGAGTTCATCCCCGTGGGCCCTGCCCGGATTCAGTTCTGCGTCCCCGAAATCAGGTTAGTGGCACTCGGGCTTGCTAGGATAGTGGCGGTACATGACGGTAAAACAGGCTTTTTTTGGCTGCCGATCGACCGGTCTCCTCTTTTTCCTGGTGGAAGTCAAGGTAACCGACCGGGAAGGGGAGCTGGGAGGGTTGCGGGGAAGGTTAGGTGGGTTTTGCCAGGACTGTTGGGGGAGCTTTAGTGTTCTCTGCTTCTCCTCCCGCTTGTATGTGAGTGTGGACGTGGTTGGAGTCTCAGATTCAGTTCTTGCGAAACCGGGAGTCGCTTGGAGGAGCTGGAGGTCATTTTCAGTAAGAGAATCGACTTTGCTGCATTGCTGCTTATTTTCCCCTCTTTGAAAATCTGGGGAGATTCTTCAGGTTGCTTTGAATCTTGAAAATTGCCCTCTAGATTTTACACGTGTAATTAAAAAGGTTCGCGAATGCCTCTGAACGGAGTTAAGCATTCACACTGCTTCTCTCTCTCTCTCTCTCTCTCTGTCTCTCTCTCTCTCTGTGTGTGTGTGTGTGTGTAGATTGTAAACAGTGGGATTGGTGCTGCCTTAAACCTGCCACTCACTAGTTTTTAGCATAGGATTTGCCTAGTGCTATTGCAAGTAATAAACCCTTTTCTTTCAGACCCCGGACTGTTAAAAGCTTCAGCTATCTTGCCCAACACAGTTTTTAAAAAAATTGTCAGTTATGGCCATTTTTAACCCTAGAAATAAAAATGCCCTAGTAAGTTTTATATCCCTTTTTTCTTTTTTTTTAAAATCTATTTATTCATAAGAGAGAGAGAGAGAGAGAGAGAGAGAGAGGCAGAGACATCGGCAGAGGGAGAAGCAGGCTCCATGTAGGGAGCCCGATGTGGGATTCGATCCTGGGACTCCAGGATCACACCCCAGCCAAAGGCAGGCGCTAAACCACTGAGCCACCCAAGCATCCCTTTATATTCCTTTCTTAACCCTTCTTTGAGTTTTGTATAATAAAGAGTATTTTCACTGCCTGTCTTATTATGGAAACAGATGGGACAACTTACGCCTGCATTTAGCACTGAGCTCAGAAATGTCACTTGTCATCAGACTTTCAAATTCATGTTATAAGTTACATGCGGTGAGAGAGGCTTTTTATATTCCGATTGAACAACTGTCTTAAGAATGGAAAAGCAGAGGTAACTGTTAATTTGCCGGTTTTGTAACAGCAACAGCAAAATTACCAGAAAGCTGTTTTTGTTGTTGTTTGCTTTTTTTTTTTTTTTTTTTTGCAAGAATATGTTAGGGAAAAGTGGGCAAGTCACTTCTTTTTAAAGTTAAGACGATTACACTTGTGGTATTCCTTACAGTTACGCGTTAGAATAGCTTGCAGAGGTGGTGTGTGTTGACTGATTTCACAGCCTTTGCTGTTACTTTGAATCTCCTGAAGAGAGTCATTAAGTGGTGATAGCTAAGAATTGCTATGTGTATTTCTTTCCCTTGCCATCTGCTTTTTAAGAAAATAAGCTTTTTATCTTGGAAAACTTTTAGATTTATAGAAAAGTTCCACATTTGTCAAAACTAAGAAATTATAGGTACAGAACTATTAACTAAACTGCAGAGTTATTCAGGCCACTGTTCCATGATTCAATCCAATACTGCATTTAGTTGCCATCCACTTTTGCTTTAAATGGTAGTTTTCCTTTTAAGTTATTTTGCACAAAAGGGCAATATCGTCCCTTCCAAATTTAACATGATTGTGTTCCTGTTTATCGTTTAAATTTTGTATAGCAGGTGTAAACCCTCTATACATTTAATTAACGCCTGCTATTACAAATGATAAACCTAATTGGCTAATGATTCAGGTGTCTCTACTGATCACTTTTCAAGTGTAAGGTTTGGGATTTTTGTCTTGGAATTTTTTTGTACCAGATCAAATTGTTTAATCTTTGCTCTATCATCTATCGATATTTCCACTCAGTGACAGTTAGCTCGTGCCATAGGAGAAAGTTTGAACCAATATTAGGCCTCTGTTTTCACATGTTGTCTCATGTAAGCTTCACAAGAGCCCGTAAGAAGATTTTTATCATGACCTTACAGCTGAGGAAATTTAAGTATCTTGTCCAAAGGTTACAGCTAAGTAAGCGTTGAAAGTCATATATAAATGTGTCGAAAACCCTTGTCATTTCTAATACTTTTTGTTGCTTCTTACATTAAAAACTTACCCAAATGGCTTGTTTCTCCAACTGGACTGTCCATTCCCTGTGGACAAAGATAATATATCTGTGGGGAAATACAATGTCTTGAACTGGTGGAGGTTCCAGAAGAATTTGTCATGGATGCCAAATGAGAAACTCAGCATTTTCCATGTATTTAGTAGGTTCGCCTACATTTTTATTTTCAGTTGTAGTTTTTTTTTTATAACACCATTTAGATTATATAAATGTTATGAAAGATAGAAGGGTTTGGATTTAGGTTTGAATCCTGCCGACAGGTGATCTTAGATACATAACTTTTCTGAACCTCAGTTTCTACTTACATAAATATTGGGTATTAATACGTTGCTATGGGGTTATTGGGAAGCTGAAATGAGATGAATTAAATGAATGTCCTAGTCCCAGATGGCCAGTGAGTTTTGCTTTTCCTTCTTAAAATGATATTAGTCATACGGATAACGTTGCCACCATAAGTATAACCACATGTCATCAACAGAAGTAAATAGAAACGAGGCAGGTATGACAGTTCTTTATTTTCCTATTCTAAGTTTGGTGTTTAGTCTTCCAGCACTTGGGAGTTGATACATTAAAAAAAAAAAAAAAGTGCAGGGGTTGGAGGGGGGAAGCTTGCAAGGTGATATGAATACAAAATCGGTGACAGTGTTTGTTTCTGTCCAGTTCAGCAAAACAATTTTTGAATGCTTACAATGTGCAGTACACTGTATTGAGATTTCATGGGTATCCCTTACAGTAGGCACTTGAAATTCAGAACATCTAGGTATTATACCTGTGTGTTATATGCGCATGTTTTTGAATTCCTGAACGAGACTTGGGGTTGCTATTCTTGGCATGAATCTTCCCCGAGAACTAAGCAATGTACTTTGTAGGAAAACTGGGCATCTCTGTTCTCAAGCCCTGGGACCAATAAGTCATTAAATAGAAATGTTCGGTTGATAAAAATGCTTAGTGTTGATAGGCAAGAACACTCTCAGTATATATTCCTTGGCCAAAAGAAGGTTCAACATTCTTTGGGCATGTGCCAAGTCTGTGTTCCTCAGGCACTTAAATATCTTTTTTACAGGAAGACTCTTCTTTCCTGGATCTAGGACATAATTCCCTAGGTGTCATTCTGCCCTCAGGTCACCTTCTGCCTGCACTTGTGAAATTACTTCCTATTTGCTAGTATTCTCCACTCCAGGGGTTGTCGCAGGGCCCTCAATTATTTTAAATAAATGTGAATATTAGCTAAGTGAGAAGGAATTCCCTGTTACAGTTGGAGGTGCTAGGGGTCTTCAGCTGATGTGAGTTTTTTGCCAGGTTTGTCAGTGGATGCCATTCGGGATTTTGCTTTTGAAAAGTTTTAAGAGCTATGGGATAATATAACTCCACATGATTTAAAGTTTATAAATGGTGCAGGAACTATTGTCATCTAGCCAGCTAAGACCATGTTATATACTTTTACCATATATTAGAGAAATTTTTAAAAAAATTGTTCTTGATAAGCCGTTATCTATCTAAATTATATAAAAATGTCCACTAATATTCTTAAATTGAGGTACTTTCTTATATTTCAGCGGAAGCCATTTGAGTATCTCTGTGTCATTTAAAAAATATTTGAGGCCCATCGACTTTCCCATTTGTTGGAATTCTCTTTTTTTGGCTTTTTTTGGGGGATTCCTGTTTGGTGGATGGCAGCTATCCAGAGGAGGATTAGCTGAGCTAATTTTAACTGGAGGGGTCTCAGATGAGTATAGGAATGAGATGCATTCTGGGGCCTGGCTGTGGAGGTTGGGCCTTGGCCTGCTTCTTCCCAAATCCTCAAACTAAATTTAGCTTATTGCTGATTATTGAGATGACTAGGATGCTTTTAGCCCAGGGGGATTGTGACAGATTTTAGACAGTAGTAGAGGGGGCAAAGTAATGACTAAGGCACACTCTTCGTTTTTTAAAGAGATGGCTTAGAATTCATTATGTTGCTAGAGGGAGGGGGACTTAGTTAAATTAGAATCACAGTTATAAATAGAAAATTAAAAGAAACTCAAGATAGTTGAGCTGATGAAAACTTTGTTTTCCATCATGAACTTTGTAATCTCTATGGATAAATTGCCTTTGTTCTTTATTACTGGGTCTTTCTTCTAGTAAGATGGATGATTTTCATTTGTGAAAGCCTCCTGAAAAAAGAAATTGATAAGGAACATTGGAGAAATAAGAAATCTTAACTGTTACATTTCTTGGAAGTGCCATTTTAATATTCTGAAGATAAATTGAAAAATAACTTTATGAGGAAATTAAAATGTTAATTTTTGACAATAGGTGTTTTCTTGTGATGTTGCTTCACAGAGACTTTTCCCTGCATATGTGTGTTATTTTTCTTCATAGAAAATTATAACTTTAAAATAATGAGGTACTTAATTTGTGTGAGGAACATTAGTTGGTCTAATAATGAAAATGCCCTAGGTAAAAGAATAATATACTGTGGTTTTCTATTTCCACCAAATTGTATTTGGTACTTTTATGTGTAAGTGCGGGTATTAGGAATTCTCAGAAAGTCTGATATATATATTGAAAAGTTAATATAAATAAATATTTGAAAGTGAAA